ATATATATATATATAGTTTTGCCAAAGCACCATACGCAATTGATAAAAAGTATATCACTAGCGATAAACAGATACGGACAACGGAGAATTGAATTTTTGAATTTACAAATCCATTGAATAGTTCAATAGGACATAGAGGTGCCTGATGGTAATACTTAATTCACTCCTGCATTGCGACAGGATGCAGGAGAAATAAGCCACAGAGAAAGTTTATGAAATGTGTCGGGGCTAGTGCACGAAAAGAAACCACTAGCTATTAAATTTAACATTATTAACAAACGCCATAATCCCTTTTGTAAAACTTGGCTGGCTTCATACTCTCTGTTTTGTTGTAATACAAAGGACAACGAATATTCAAAGCTGTATTGACAGTAGGTTATTTGCAAAAGGTACAATATAAACATTCTCTCTTATTTTGTTTTGAAAGAACAAACTAGAGCCTAGAGGAGATCTGAGAAATTATAAATGTTCTTATCTGTGAATTCTAATATTTCGAATGATGATTGAAAAAGATCTATCGCTTTGTTTTAACTGTCAATTTGCTACTCGACCACAAGCAACTTTCGTAACACTCGTGCATCCCACGATTATGGGTTGAACGAGTGTTTCACCTGAGTCTAGGCTGTGTCTAACCTCATAACCACTCCTGCTTAATTTCGAGTAAAATATAAACGATAAAATACTGAATTGGGAAACAAATTGGTACTGGGTACCAGACCTCACGCGAAGGATGGGTTCGAATTTGAACCGAACCAAAATTTTTTTTCTACATAATTCATTCCCCTACTACATCGAATCACTTTGAAGCTTTTGAACATAAAACGATGGAAAACACAAGAATAATAATAGTAATAATGCACATTATATCTTTGACTTCAAAAACAATCAACTGAATTGAAAAGAAAGAAAATCGATCAGTCGATCACGTTCAAGTTGATCTAAGTCAAACTCTCGAGTTACAAATGAACAACAACACTTCGGGCAGTTTTATTAAAAAACTAGCTGCGCCTGCGTAGACGTTGGTTTGTCACATTAAGTTTCGTGACAGATCATTTTAAACACATAGTTACAATATTTTTTTAATTATCCAAAACTTCAGGTTTCCAACTTTAGAAATGACGAAATTCAATACAATAATTAAACCCCTATTTTTCTCCTTGGGGATGCTAATTCCTGTTTCCCTTTCTTGATGCTTATTTACGCTATACAAATAACCTACCTGCATATTTCAAGTTTCTAGGTTCAGTAGCTTCGGCTGTACGTTAATATAAGAGTGCCAGTCAATTGATTTGATGCACTCGGTTTATTTTTCATACGACGTTTCGATTACTTAGGGCCGCTTTCATACTTTTTTTTTTCAAATACGAACCTGTATACGATATCTAAGGAATGTTAATTCCTAGGAAAAAATGTAAGAGCAATATTTACAGAGAATAGCAAAATCTATAACTATTATTTGATTTATTTTGAAGTTGACACTCAACATTAACAAGAAAAATGCAAAAAAGACATTTTTCACATTTGATCTTTAATAAATTTTTAAACACATATACGATCGGTGACTTTTATTTTCTAATGTATTTACACCAATTTTCAGCTGTTTGTTAGTTATTGTGAATTCGACACTTGTTTTCGTTCATTTTGAGCAGATTATAATGCATGATGCTGCAAGAAAAAACTATCACACTGAAATTTGTTGCCTGGTACCGTAATATTGAGCTGAAATACCGATTATAATATGATTAAATCAAATTGGAAAGGATTGTGTAGTATTAGAAGGTGTAATTACAATCTTCATAGTTATAAAGAAATTGGTTTCAAAGAAAATAAATCGTTTGAACAACCTTTCAATACCGACTGATCTGAAAACAATTCAATGAATTTCTCTTTGTATAATGATTTTAATTGTATGCAAGAATGCAAACCTACTTTACTCAGACGTAACGTTTCACGCTACAATAATTTTTTGGTGAATAATATGCAAGGTAACGCTTTGTTAGAATATAACAGTTGCGTTTCAAGAATGTATATCGATAAACGAGTTTGTGATGATATGAAAGGATCTAAATTAAAAAAATACACAAACTTTCAGAGAAAAAATTTATGAACTATATTCACATTATTCAAATATTTGGTTTTGACTGGTCTATAAATTGATACCATCAACCTCAAAAGAAAAAATAAGTTTGATTGCTCTGGATATAACTGAATAGATATAGTATACTCGTATTCACCAACATTAGTGCGTATAAATTAATAACGTTTCAGTGTAAGCTTTTACGACTATTTACCAGCTCTACTGTGTGACATAGACTTATGTTACACCCACTTTTTCTCCTTTATTTCTCTAGCGATATTTCTGAAACTTGGAACATTAAATATGCTCTCTAGACAGCACTTTTTGAAATATTTGTAAAACAAATTCAACTTCCGGCTTTTCCGGAAATGACAACAACTTTTGATTTTCAAATGGAACATCCTATATATTATCACAAGAAAGGTTAGGGAAGATCATGAGGAATCCAACGATACCAGGTTTGATGGTGTTATCTCTAATGACTACGGAGATATCGCCATATTTTATTTTATACATAAGCTCAATGAGTAGGACAGAGAAACTTTTTCTGGAGGGTCCATCCAACTCTATCTCTCACACTCATTGAGCTCATGGATAAAATAAATGGCGATATCTCCGTAGTCATTAGAGATAACAACATCAAACCTGGTATCCTTGGATTCCTCATGATCTTCCCTAACCGTTCTTGTGATAATATATAGGATGTCCCATTTGAAAATCAAAAGTTGTTATCATTTCCGGAAAAGCCGGAAGTTGAATTTGTTTTACAAATATTTCAAAAAGTGCCGTCTAGTAAGCATAATAAATGTTCCAAGTTTCAGAAATATCGCTAGAGAAATAAAGGAGAAAAAGTGGGTGTACCATAAGTCTGTGTCACACGGTATATAGAATGAAAGAAACTTTAAATTGAATCAAACCCATCATTTTATTACAATTCTCAATGTATATAATAAAGAAGCTACTAACGAGATCAACCCATTTCAAATATGAAATATTTTTTCTTGAGATTGTTTCCTATCAAGATCAAGTATAGTCGAAGTATCCGGTATAGTGCATAGTTGAAGCTATCAGCGATCTCAAAGGCCAAAAAAACCAATACAGGGAAATAAAGGCGCTGCCAACTAGTACACGTGGACTGTATACTTGGCGGTTCGTATTGGATCATTTTTACTAACCGAGTTTTATGATTGGCTGAAGAGTCATAAAATAAAATTTAACGTCATGTTATGGTGACGAATATAATGCGAGGATGGTTATAAGAGTCGTGTTGTCAATGTTCAGTTTAGGAACTGATCGCGATTTGAGTGTTGAAATTCGATATTGCTGCAGTTATAATTATTTAAAAATTTTGTTATCTCTTTAAAATGTGACGTCATTGGACAAGTACTAATAGTAATAACAAGTGTGATAACAACGCAGAATTGCTCCAGTGTAGTGATTCCAATAGCAATGGTAAACAATGCGAAAAAGAGATAACAGTGAATTAGATTCGGATGCATTTGAATATTGAAACACAGAGAGTATGTTTCAATGTAAATAAGAATCTACATATCAAGTTTGGTTTCGAGGGAAACAAACTATTACAAGCAACATCAGATTTGACCGAAATTCCTTTCTCAACTGTACGTAAAATAGTCAAAAACAAACCTTATGAACGCAAGACGCGATGTGATACGGGATTGTCAAAACCTTTACATGGTCATCTAATAAAATTATAGAAAAAAACAATATACGACAATTACAAAAGCAATGAAATACCTAAAATTGAAATCATAAGGAAGAAATTGAATACTTCTGGTCATAACGTGGGCTGCTGTGATGAAACTATTCAGAATTGAAATATGTTCAAAATATGTTTTTCCGTTAATTGGAAAAAGAAACTAGGATTTAGATTTAAAATAATAAAAACGTCAATCAGTTATGGAAAGCAGTAGAATAGTGGAATTGTGTAACAAATAATTAGAACAAATAACTAAATAAAGACAAGAACAACGGCAAATTTTCTTTTTGGACGAAACGACACAGTTACGAAAGGGTGGACTGATGGTTTTAGAATGTGTACGCTTAACATGCCTGCAAACAAAGGTTCGCGACTAATCATTGTGCATTGCGGAGAAGGTAAAAGATGCGTTCCGAATTCTTTGAAATTATGTGGAAATAAACTTCAGGACTGCAATGTTGACTATCATAAAAACATGGAAGCTAATATTTTGAGATGCAGTAAAAAAACTAATCCGCTATCTTGGTATGTCCATCTGATTGGATTTAGAGTGTCGTAATGTTATTTTTTTCAGAAAACCCTCTCATGTGATACTCATATCATAGCGATGTATAAAACAAACGTGTTCCTACCTTGGGTGGTCCGCCATATTCGATTTAGAGTGAGTCATGTATTTTTTGGTATTCTTTTCAGAAACCCTTTCATTTGATACCCATACCATGAGGGTGCATAAGAAACTAGTCCGCCATGTAGACATGGATGTAGTATAGTGTCACTCAGCTAACCATGCATTGTCATCTAAACTGAACGTATAAGCAAAAATGCAGCTCAATCGGTTGAATGTAACAGCTTCAGAATTCATTTGCAAGATTTGATTCGAACAAACATATGTATACATACGAAGTTAATTCGAATGGCATAAAAACTAAATAGTTACCGAAAGTCGGTAGTTTCTTTGTATGGCATGGGCAGTGTGGTTTAATTTTATATTCTAATCATTATTCTTCTGTGGAAGGTTTTATATTGTATTAAATAGCAAATTTATCGACTATATATGGCATGGGCGGTGTGGTTTAATTTTATATTCTAATCATTATTCTTCTGTGGAAGGTTTTATATTGTATTAAATAGCAAATTTATCGACTATATATGCATACAATTATTGCAAGTTGAATAAAAGCTTGTAAGAAAATGGTATCTTACCCTGCTGGATAAGCAATCAGTCCATTGTTATCACTTGTTAAAGCTGCATTACTTGAAACGGTTACTCCTAATACTCTTTCGAGTTTGATCTGAAAATTAAAACAACAATAAATTATTGAACAAAATTCATTTCTTTGGAGAAAATAAAAGTTTTTTATCAACCTTTGCGATTTATCGAGAAGTTTGAAAATAAAACGAATCGAAGGAAAAAACTGCAAAATATGTTTCATTCTTCACAATTAAGAAGACGGAGACAGATTTTTGCCTTAGAAATGATATTTATCTTCAATTTCTTAGCTCTACATTATAATTCATATTATTCATTGTAACTGAATTTATTCCTTCAGGGTGTTTCTAAAAGTTATGAAACAAAGTAGGTGATCCATTGATGCTTCTTTCTTTTTTTTTGTCTTTTCTCAGCTCCTCGTCATATAAAAGTTAAACTTTTATCTGGACAGATGAGTGGACAATAGCTTGGACATTCATTCATTAATTGTTTATATATTTTGTTGTAGGACATCATAGGAGGTTCGTTTGCTAGTTCTTCTTCGTTTGATCTATATTTCTTCTCTCATTGATTTCTCTATCATAACAAAGACAGACAATACGAGAATGTTATTCTATTGAATGTAAATAATAGAAAGCGTTCAAGAATACGGTATTTGGAAACCATACCTATTTTGAAGGTTGTTGACAGTCATTACCCGAAGACAATTGTAGATACTAACAATCGAAACGTCGTGAAGTAACTTGGCTTGAAAACTTTCAATTTCTATTTCTTTTTTATTGTTCAATTCTCGAGAGTTTCTTATATTTTATTTTATTGTAATTCAGGGTTTTTTGTTTAATATAATTATTTTCAGCTATTCGTTTTAAATTTATTGTTTCTTTCAGGAATTCAAATAATTTTTATATCATATTAGACAATGGAAGTACGAACTAATGAAATT